TTACAATAATGCAGCAGTCTGCATAACAGTAAATCTTCTATTTTTTTGTGAATAAATTCCAAATGGTAAGCAAGAGTAATATAAGAGGGGCCTGTAGCCGTGACTAATGAACAGAGAAAATGTTATTTTAGTGCCAGGAATGTCTGCATTGTTTATTCTGGACCCTATTTTGAAATTGGCATCTGTTGAAATTTGTGAAATCGGCCAAATTGCCAATTTCTGACCACTTTATTGGGTAGCTGAAATAAGTGAATGGGCAGTTTCTTGTACTCAGTTGACAGACTAGAAGTAAATAAGTTTATTCAGGTATACAAAAATACAGTTACATATTATTATTATAATAATCAAAAAGAAGCGCTAAGCCACAAGGGTGCAGTTACATAGATTATCATACATAGCAGTGTATGTATAGAGAACCTAGGATAACCCAAAAAAGTCAAAGTGATTTATTTCCAGTACCTGGCTTGGGCTTGCCATATATGATTTTTGGTAATTATTTTTTTTCTTGGTTGTTTTTTGGGCTATCTCATTGAAACTTGGGCAATGTATGATGGAAAGTTGCTTCTTAACGTACAACAAAAATAAAAAAGACGGACGATAAATAAGGGAGTTCACTTCTCAGCCATTAGCCGCCTCTTTGCAGTTTATTTTCGTGTGGTTTTTATGATTGTATTCTCATTTTTTTGGACTCATTTGATAGAATGGAAGATATATTACAGAAATAGACATGATTTTTGTTTTCATGACGAAAAGTACCTTGAAACTGAGCTCAAAGAAGAGGAAATGTTCGATTTTTGCCGATGTTCAATGAACTTTGTGTAAGTCAAGTTGGTTAATTTTATTAAGTGTAGTCTAACCTAACCACTCTGTAATCCGGCAAACTCAGTAATCCGGCACACTACAGGTCCCAATGATGCCGGATTTGTGATGGAGGACCTGTAGTGCAAATGTGACATTAAAACAATATCGAAGATGGTTGACACAAACCCACTACCATTATAGTATGCTCCCCACTTAGTGATGAATTCATTTACCGGCATGGTCTTAGAAACGCAACTTTGTCGTTAAGTGAGTAGAGGCTGTATATATTTTTTAACACCTCGGCTGTCTCCCACCGAGGCAGTGACCTAAAAAGAAAGAAAACCCCATAGAGAAAGAAAAAAAAAACTCATCATCATTCAACACTTCCACCATAATTCATACATAATCACTGTCTCTGCAGAGGTGTTCAGATACGACAGTTTAGATGTCACTCCAAACAGCCAATATCTCAAACTCCTCCTTTAAAGTGAAGGCACTGTACTTCCCACCTCCAGGACTCTAAGTCTGGCTGACTGGTTTCCCTGAATCCCTTCACAAAATATTACCCTGCTCACACTCCAACAGATCGTCAGGTCCCAAAAACCATTCGTCTCCATTCACTCCTAACATGCTCACACATACACACACATGCGTGCACACACACATTTACATATTTTATTTTTTCCAACTCTGATAACAGTAGTAAAACTGAATACAGTAGGGCCCCACTTATACGGCAGGGTAGGTTCCAGGCTACTTGCATAAAGTGGAACGCCCTTTTTTTTCTACTTATAAATGCATATAAATACTAGATAAGTTTACACTAACATATACAGTGCTACCTCGAGTTTCGAACAGCTCCCAACTTGAACAGTTATGTAAGTGTATTATTGTAAGTGCTCTTGTAAGTGTATTTTTGGGAACAAATTTGTTCGGTACCGGCACTCGAACAGCCTTCTGGAACAAATTAAGTTTGTAACTTGAGGTACCACTGTATTAAGTTAGCAATAGAACTAGGCATTAAAAAACAATAAAAAATTAAAATACACATATAGTACACTCATTACTTACCTTAAAATATTTATAGTCTTCATGTAGGGCGGGATGAGCAGTATTTATTGTAAGAAGTCAAGTGTGGTATGTATTGTAGCCAGCCAGGCTACCATACCAAACCACCCCACCCACACATAATATTTTATATTTAAAACGTCCCAGAGCGATAAAATGCATATACAGTTCACTCATTACTCACCTTAAAATATTTGTAGTCTTAACCCTTTCAGGGATCCACGGCCAAAATCTGACGGGGTGCCCCAGTGTCAAAGAAATTTTGAAAAAAAAAAAAAAAAAACTTACAGAATTAAAGAATATTTTTGTGAAGGTAATAAAACAAAACAAAAATTCTGATCAGTACGTTGACCCAAAATGACCGGGTGGCGGCAACATCAGTGACTTCCACAAAACTGCATTTTTTTTATTTTACATTTTTTATAATTTTTTCTTTTCTAATTTTTTCTTTTTCTAGTAAAATTTATGGCCTGTGAGACCAATATAATGTATACTGTACAAGTGTACACTCATTGTATTCAACACAATAACTCCACTAATTTGATCATATTGGTACAGTGGTACCATATGGTATAATGGCACCATATGATACAATGGTACCATGATACAATGGTACCATATACAATGGTACCATATGGTACAATGGCACCATTTGGTACAATGGCACCATTTGGTACAATGGCACCATTTGGTACAATGGCACCATATGATACAATGGTACCATATGGAGCAATGGTACTATATGGTGCAATGTACCATATGGTACATTGTACCATGTGTTACAATGATACCATATGGTTCATTGCACCATATGGTACTATATGGTGCTGTTGTATTCAACACAATAAACACACTAATATTTTCATCATTATTTCATTTACAATAATTGTTTACAACAAAAATATGCAAAAATGTTGTATATTAGTAATGTTCTATTACATATTTACAAATGTACAGCCACTCCTCATGTTACTTGAGGTGGATGACAAAGTGCTTTGTCTTGGAAACTGCTGAGTCAGTGACTTGCGTCACCACTCACTCAATCTTGGCTGGTGCCTTGTGGCATCAACATCTCCAACTGACCATATGGTACATGGTATCATATTACATGGTACCATATGGTACATTGTACTATATGGTATAGGGTACCATATGGTACAGGATACTATATGGTGCAGGGTACCATATGGTGCAGGGTACCATATGGTGCAGGGTACCATAGGTGCAGGGTACCATATGGTGCAGGGTACCATATGGTGCAGGGTACCATATGGTGCAGGGTACCATATGGTGCAGGGTACCATATGGTGCAGGGTACCATATGGTGCAGGGTACCATATGGTGCAGGGTACCATATGGTGCAGGGTACCATATGGTGCAGGGTACCATATGGTGCAGGGTACCATATGGTGCAGGGTACCATATGGTGCAGGGTACCATATGGTGCAGGGTACCATATGGTGTAGGGTACCATATGGTACAGATACAGGGATCCCTATGGAAATAATTCACCCTGACTTTTCTGGGTTATACTAGGATTTTATACATATGCTGCAATGTATGATAATCTATGTAACTGTATTTGTGTACACCTGAATAAACTTACTCAAGCACATGTGGCATCGTAAGTTTATTTAGGTATACACAAATAAAGTTACATAGATTATCATACATAGCAGCATATGTTTGGAGAACCTAGGATAACCAAAAAAAGTCAGACAGACTTTTTTCCATTAGGGTCCCTGTACCCTGTACCATATGGTACAATGTACCATATGGTATAAAGTACCATATGGTACAATGTACTATATGGTACATTGTACCATATGGTACCATTGTACCATATAGTACAAGGGTACTATATGGTTCAAAACCATAGAATTCCTCTTCAGATCCACTTCCATCAGTCTTAGAACTGTAAGCTGTGAAGAGGAGAGTCAGAATTCACCAGGAGAGTGAGTGGGGAGTGAGAGTTTCCTTGCCGCCAGGCATGATGAACAAAGCTACTTTGGCGGCGTTCCCACAATGCCATGCAGGCATCCAGATTTTTTCTATAGTGCGCACACTGACCACCCAGACCCATTCTTTCAGATGTAGGCCTACCAGCCTTCTTGCGCTAAATCTGACGCCGGTAGAATTTTGGCGTAGATCTACAGTTTGGACCCTCAATGTAAAACCGTAGATCTACGGTGCAGACCCTGAAAGGGTTAATGTAGGATCAGAGGCGAGTAAATGAGATAAAACAAATAAACGAGAGGGAGAGAGGGAGGATGAGTACACGAGAGAGGACAGGCGCGGAGTTATGTAAAGAAACCCGGTGTACACGTCTGGTTTGTGCAAAAGTTACATTGTTTACAAGTTGTCTCCACATTGATACAGTAGAATAAAAAAAGAGCAACACTTCCATTCTCATGTAACACCATTTTTAGAAGAAATGGCGCTCTGTGTGAAGGCATACGAAAGGAATAATTTTCTACAGTTACCCTCAGTAACATATTTTCTCTGATGATGGACTAGAGAAAATGTTATTATTGCCGTCACTCGTACAAGTTGTGTGCCTACCTCATCTGATATTTTGGTTAATTTATTCTACTGTGGAGTGTATTTATCATGTTTATGTTACATATCATGTTTATTATACAATTTTGAAAAAATGTCATAAAAGGATTAATGAAAATGTGTATACTATCATAATATATGACATTCAATGAGACTCAGTGATTATTATTATTATCATTACTAATATGAAGTCTCGAGACATAAGACACTCTTACTTATTTTAATGTGTGCCTGCATGCCAGCACAATGTGTAAGTTTATTAAGGTACAGGTATACATAAGTATAATTATCAGAATATACATAAAATATGAAATAACTTTTAAAAACGCTTGGAGTTTCCAGACATAATGGAGAGATGCAGTGCTCACGGAGCTCACGGAGAATGTAAACAAACCGGGTGGGACGTGATGACCATACTAGAAAGTCAGGTGGGGGAGAGCCATATAGCGAGTTTTGGTCATAATCTGAAATGTCCGTATTAGCGGTACGCCGTAAAGCAGATCCTTCTGTATGTATATCAGGATCCAAACCCCAAACATGCAGAAATTGCCACTACAACAGTAAAAACAAACCTGAACATGCAAGGCATCTGTTTTACCATCCTCAATGCCCAGGTCTTTCAGAACTTCACAAAGGCGAGCCCCACTCCACGTTGCATTTCCAATAGCAGCTTGCCCCCAACTCAATCCTTTCACTGGCTTTATCTGATAAAAACTTAGTTTTTAATTACAGTATCTTAGAATATTTAGAGAATATTTCTGAAGCTGATAAGCACAGACTGAGTGACCTGGAGGAGAGACAAAATTAAATTTTACAGTAATCATGTGCAGATAAATTATTTTGGTGATTGTACATGAAGGACCAGAAAAGGGCATAAAAGTAATGAAATGAAATGATTCTTTAAAAACACATTCTATGGCTTAAGCATTTTGAGAATACAATAAATCCTCGTATAATGCAGTAGAATATGTTCCCAAGAATTGTGTCGCAAAAAACTATTTTGGCTATGATAGAAATTTTCCATGTGTATGTCAGGGTTGATGATTAACAGTACAGAATATATAGTAGGTTATTAACCTGCAGTATTGAAAAATAAATGAAAGACAAACATTCACTTAGGTTAAACATAAGGTAGAATCACTGAACAGCATTTAGGACATTAGGAAATACGTACGTTGTGATAATTGGTTCAAGACTGACAAGTTGAAGATTGAGACACTTATGCAACATATGGGAATCTTTAATGAAGAAACGTTTCACCACACAGTGGCTTCATCAGTCCAATACAAATCAGAAGGATGTAAGGAGAGGAGGAGTTTGAGGTAATCAGTCCCTCTTCTACGGCCCTATACTGTACTTTCTTCAAGATTGACGGAGTGAACACATCGACTCCAGGCTGAGGGACTGATTACCTCAAACTCCTCCTCTCCCTACACCCTTCTGATTTGTATTGGACTGATGAAGCCACTGTGTGGTGAAATGTTTCTTCAGGAAATATGTTCAAAAATAATAAGGAAAAAATTATGTACAGTGAACCCTCGTTTTTCGTAATTAATCCATTCCAGAGAGTGTGACTAATGGTGAAATTGACGATTTGTGAAACCATTTTCCAAATAAGAAATACATGTAATGTAAATCCAATTAATCCGTTTCAGACCAAAGTACGTATTAACAAAAAAAATTTTTTTTACACGAAATATAATCTACATACACAGAAAACAACGAAACAAAAAATAAAACAATAACATCACACTTACCTTTATTGAAGACTCTTGTTGGTGTATGAATAAAATATGTCATTACGTATGTTAGGAATTGTGTCGGCGGCAGGGGTGTGTGTTTGGAGGCAGGACAAGATAGTCCTTCAATATGACACTAATATCAACTCTACACCTTATTTATCAATCACAATTCATCTAATATGACATAACCAATATTAATAACATAGAAACATGACATATACTCTAGAATGAATAAAAATGTCATTACGAATGTCATGAGTGGTGGTGTGTTTTGTTGCTGGGTGTATAAGGGCCACTGAGAGCATAAGCCATACATGGTGGTGTTGAAGGCCAGCAGAGGTGGCGGTGTTGTCAATAGCCCTATACAACTCCAACAACACTGGAGGAGTTAGGTTCATGCTGCCCTTTTTCTATCGATTAATTGCTTAACTTACTTGCTACACTGTTAATGCTACACTTTATCGCTGGCTGGAGCTATAACCTTTATCGACTCGTGCCGCTTTAGTATCATACATATTGTAGAATCGCTGAATCACTGAAGAAGGTACATTCTCCCCTCTCTCATCCTCCTTCGCTTTGGTATTTTGCTACGAGTTCTTTCTTGAATTCTATCGTGTTTCTCATCATCTTTACCAAAAGCCTGGCACTAGGAGCTTTCTTTGGGGCCATGGTGGGTTATTTTGCAGTTGTGAAATGCATTGTATGAATGTATGGGATTGTCCTCACTCGCTGATAATGGCACACTGGCTGCGAATGGAGTGTGGGGCTGCTTGGGGCCGTGCATACTCGTCTGGGACAAACAACTATTTGCGAGTCAAACAACGATTTGTGAGTCAATATTTTGACAATTTTAAAAAGTTATGATTTTTGAAAATTACAACTTCTGATGCTTACGAAAAATGAGAGTCCACTGTATATATTAACTTGGTATACAAGGAAAGTGATTGGGGAAAAAAAAAAACTTCCCACAGAATAAATAGGGCCATACCCTCCACCTTCAATATTGGGGAAAACAACTAAAAACCAAACCAAAGTAAAGAAAAAATGAAGTCAGAAAATGCCTTGAATTTCTCTGAAACATCTAAATATGCACTTAAATCATGTTTTGGCACATTTTTCCATAGATATTAATATTTATTATACTATTTAAAAAATACTTTAAAAAGTGCATTAAAATATACAAGATTTTGCATTTTTTTCTCTTAGAGCATTTACTCGTACAATTCGTATGCAGGAGAGCCCACTTTACAGAGCTACGGTTTACAGAGCTTCACTAATGCAGTGGTTTTCAATTATACCCATTCTTCATTTATTCAGACCTCCTACAATAAACACATTCATCACTCACTATAAGCTAAGGACAAAAATATTTTAAGTTAAGTAATGTTGTACAGTATACATATGCACTTTTTAGGCCAAGTTCTATTGCTCCCTTAGCCCCTTAGCTGTCCAAACGTAGATCTACATTCTCTCGCCCAGCGCTCCAAATATTTTGAAAGAAAAAAATACATAAAGAATATTTTTCTACATGTAATAGGATAAAAATAAAATTTTAGGGTCAGTACTTACCAAGATATAAGACTGCAAAGTTGGTGCTGGATGCTCACCTGACAGCAACATGGATTCCAGCCGCTTGCAGAAATGTTGCCAATACACCTTTTTTCTTTTTTTTTTTAATTTACATAATTTTTGTTCTGATAATTACAATTTACAGTAGTTCTTGTGATTTCACAGCCAATCTTTGTTCGGACACCAATGTATTAGGTACTGAAATAGTACTCATAGTCACAAACACACTGACATGTAAACATTTTCACCTGTCTTGGTCACATACAGGTCCTCCATCACAAATCAGGCATCATTGGGACCTGTAGTGTGCCGGATTACTGAGTTTGCCAAATTACAGAGTGTTTACGTTAGAATACACTTAATAAAATTAACCAACTTGACTTAAACAAAGTTCTTTGAACATCGGCAAAAATCGAACATTTCTGCTACTTTGAGCTCAATTTCAAGGTACTTTTCATCTTGAATGCAATCAAAATCATGTCTATTTCTGTAATATTTCTCCCATTCTATCAAATGAGACCAAAAAACGAGAATACAACCATAAAAACCATACGAAAATATACTACAAATAGGCAGCTAATGGGTGAGAAGTGAACTCCCTTATTTATCGTCCGTCTTTTTTATTTTTGGTGTACATTAACCCTTTGACTGTCGCAACCCCCAATCCTGAGGTGTCTCCTGGTGTCGCAAAATTTAAAAAAAAAAATTATTTTTTCTTATGAAATGATAGAGAATCTTTTCCCGATTGTAATGACACCAAAAAAACGAAATTTGATGGAAAACTGATGGAATTATGCTCTCGTGAAGTTAGCGACCTCGGCACTGTTTACAAAACGGCGATTTCGCCCACTTTGAGCCCTATTTTCGGCTAATTCCATTGTTCCAGTCGCCCAAACTCATAGCTATTTCTTTAGAACTTCATTTTTTCTATCGATTGAATACAAGAAACTGCCCATTTACTGATTTCAACTACCTAATAATGTGGTCAGAAATTTGCAATTTGGCCAATTTCACGAAAACTAAAAATATGACAATTTCAAAATAAGGTCCAGAATGAACAATGCAGACATTCCTGGCTCTAAAATAACATTTTCTTTGTTCATCAGTCACGTCTCCAGGCCCCTCTGATATTACTCTTGCTTTCTATTTTGAATTTTTATTCAAACAAAAAATATTAGACTTACTATTATGCAGACTACTGCAATGCTGTAATAACTATAAATAACATCAACCCATTCATGACTGCATATTAGAATGGCTAGTTGGACATTTATTGGACAATGGCATCATTTGTTTACTTTTGAACATTGGCAAAAATCAAACATTTCCCCCACTTTGAGCTCCATTTCTAGGTTCTTTATATAGTAAAATCAATCAATATCACCTCTATTTCTGTAATATGTTTTCCATTCTATCAAATGAGACCAAGAAAACGAGAATACAACATTAAATACTATACGAAAATAGACCACAAAGTCGGCATTTTAATTAAAAAAAACGGTCGGAGTTTTCTTTTTCTCATTATGCACTGCGTGCTCCAGGATTTTTTTATATGGTGCACACTGACCACACAGACCCATTCTCTCACATGTGGGCCTACCAGCTTTCTCCTGCTTGATTTGAAGCCGCTAGAATTTATGAGTATATATACGTCAAACACGGCACCTCGTAAAACGTATATATACGGCAGCGACAGTCAAAGGGTTAAAAAGCATCTTTCCATCATACAATGCCCAAGTTTCAATGAGATAGCCCAACAAACAGCTGAGAAAAAAACAATATTTACCAAAAATCATGGCAAGCCCAAGCCAGGTACTGGAAATAAGTCACTTTGTCTGACTTTTTTGGGTTATCCTAGGTTTTCTATACATACACTGCTATGTATGATAATCTATGCAACTGTATTTGTGTATAGTACCTGAATAAACTTATTTACTTACTTCTAGTCTGTTGACTGAGTACAAGAAACTGCCCATTCACCTATTTCAACTACCAAATAAAGTGGTCAGAAATTGGCAATTTGGCCAATTTCAGATGCCAATTTCAAAATAGGGTCCAGAATAGACAATGCAGACATTCCTGGCATTAAATTAACATTTTCTTTGTTCATTAGTCACAGCTCCAGGCTCCTCTCATATTACTCTTGCTTACCATTTGGAATTTTTATTCACACAAAAAATAGAAGATTTACTGTTATGCAGACTACTGCATTAATGTAATTGTATAAATAACATCAACCCATTCTTGACTGTGTATTGGAATTTGGACTGGCAGGCGGACAGGTATTGGATGATGATGTCATTTGTTTACTCTTGAGCTTCGCTAAAGAATAGAACTTTTCTGCTACTGTGAGCGCAATTTCAAGGTACTTTTCGTCATGTAAGCAATCAAAATCATATCTATTTCTGTAATAGATCAAGTGTTTACATTGAAGCATATATGTGAACAGTATTTAGATAAAGGTAGGGAAGTTTTTATTGCATTTATGGATTTAGAAAAGGCATATGATAGAGTGGATAGAGGAGCAATGTGGCAGATGTTGCAAGTATGTGGAATAGGTGGTAAGTTACTAAATGCTGTTAAGAGTTTTTATGAGGATAGTGAGGCTCAGGTTAGGTTCTGTAGAAGAGAGGGAGAATACTTCCCGGTAAAAGTAGGTCTTAGACAGGGATGTGTAATGTCACCATGGTTGTTTAATATATTTATAGATGGGGTTGTAAAAGAAGTAAATGCTAGGGTGTTCGGGAGAGGGGTGGGATTAAATTATGGGGAATCAAATTCAAAATGGGAAATGACACAGTTACTTTTTGCTGATGATACTGTGCTTATGGGAGATTCTAAAGAAAAATTGCAAAGGTTAGTGGATGAGTTTGGGAATGTGTGTAAAGGTAAAAAGTTGAAAGTGAACATAGAAAAGAGTAAGGTGATGAGGGTATCAAATGATTTAGATAAAGAAAAATTGGATATCAAATTGGGGAGGAGGAGTATGGAA